TCCAAATGTGGATGTTATATAGAATCTCAACATAGTTGCATGGAAATGACAAAATACATTTTAAAATTTAATTTATGGGAGTTTTGCTTAAAAATAATACCAAGGTAAAATGTGTAGTTCTCAGCAGCCTTGTTTTCTCAGCTCTTACAAATGCACCAGTTGAATGCATTACCCATCTTATCTGAATCTACCTGCGAATCAGGAGACAGTTTTGGCCCCAGTGTAAATTGCTGTGTGTACTTGGCCAGATCTCAAAATCCACGTGAGACTAGAACTTTGAGCTTTCAGTAATTGCTGAAAATTCTTAACCTACAGGAATGGATTTAAAGTGATTCTCATTTATGGCACCTTGCTAATTGCCCCTGTGTAATTATTCACTGCATCTGCCCGCGAGTGCATAGGCTGTTGCATTCACACTGCCTGTATCTTTAGTATTGCCACATGAAGCTCGAGCCTCAGGACTGTAACCTTCGTGTCAGTCCAGCTGCCTCTTTCAGAGGTACCATCACTCACGGAGAGGATTAACCACTTCCTTGTAGTATTACCACTCTCTTTCCAAACAAGTATTAGATAATCAAAATAGGTAGAAAAGTAGGTATTATAGAACCCTTTAAAGTTACTATTTACAAATTTAAAAGGCTTTATGATCTATCCTATGTTGATTTGTTTTAATTGGATAGTTTGATTATTATAATATGACTAGTCATACTTATAAGTAGTTGGTCTGCTTTGTGTAAATTCCTATTGTCATATATTACTAGACTATGGCAATAGCAGTAGTATATGAGAGTGCCATAAAACTGCAATCTATTTTTGGGCCCCTTGTATATATTCAAATTATCGTCCATACCAGATATTGGGGATCACTGTTTAAAAAAGGAAGATAGTTTGCTAATGCCTCTACTAGTTTAGAATATGGGTTGATTCAGCTAAGCCTTTCAAATTCACCTGTCAGCATTGTAAGAACAATTTATCATAAATAGCCTGAAACCTGTATTACTTTTCAAAATATTTTAGAGAGCAATTCCTACCACATATGTATTAAGGAACAAAGAAATAGGAGATGCAAATGCTAAGCTATCCTTAAGACAATATCTAATATCTGTGTTAGATCATCATTTTGAAGCCACACTTTAATCTAACGCAGTCGTGAAGTTAATTCTGCCCATGAACTATTAAAAATAATTTAAGATAGTATTCCTACAGTGCATATCCCTAGTCTTAAAATAGATCATCCTAGTGGAAGCCAAATATAACACCTTCCTGAATGGTCTTGTAAAACATAAGTCATTTTCCACTGATGACATATATCCCTACATATCCCTGTTCCCTTTCATTTATTTGAATTCTTATTTTTCACTATCTCCTTCCTCATGATTCAATCCCCACGACCTAGTCAACATTGTTCTAAGAGTTTCTTTCCTCCACATAATTGACATCGAGTTCCCTCAGCTAAAGTGTCCCCTGAAAACCCCTCTGTCCTATCTTGACTCTATCCAAATCCTGCTTGTGCACTCATCCACAGCACACTGTCTTCTATTACACACTGCCAACGAAGTCACTGAACTTGTCCCTGCATTCTCACACCTTATTGAACGCACCTTTATGATATTTGCTAACATTTTCTTTTCAGCACTTACGAATCCCCAAATTTTATGATAATACTTTTGATAAACTTTTCTCAGTTAATCTGAGTTATTTGTACTATACACTAACCTAATTGCTGTTCGTCCTGTGATTATTCTTTTCTCTCTCTGTTTGTTTTGTTTATTTATTTAATAGACAAGGGAATTGAGACTCAAAGGGATCTTGCAAATAATTTTGAAGTGCTACACACTGGTGTCTAGATTTAAATCTAGGCAGCACCTGAGCTCTTTACTTCAGCCTTGCACTACTTGCTAACCTTCATTTCATGCTACTTCTGCTTTACATGCTCAGAACTTGTAGAGGTGATTCTGTCGAACTCAGTAGCATACCACTGTGTAGCCTCAAGAGTGATGCTTTTGGAAACCATTTCAGAAGTTTCCTCCTTAGACAAAGCAGTCCCACTCTAAACTTACATCAATGTTGTTTTCCCAAACAAATTTCACCACCTGTATTGATTTACACTTCTGTTCTCATTTATCTGCCAGCCAAGTCTTCATTACATCTTTACATTTATATTTAAATTGAATTATTATGCATTGCAAGGCCATTGATGATTTATTTTTAAAAGAATTAATAATTTAGTCTAAATTCATTTCTTTCTTTTACTGTCATTATCTTAGGGTGAATAGACTTAACATTTCCCCCCTGAATTATCAGTGTAGTAAATCCATGTACTCCATAGACAGGCAGTAAAACTGTAACTAAGGATCTATTAAGCTGTCTGTGGCCTTAATGCCTAAAATATCAGGATAATGTCTTGTGTTAATAACAATTCATATTAAACAAACACAAGAAGTCAAACAGAAAAATCTTTTGAACTTTGAGGATGTTTGTGACATATAAAAAATGTAATAAATATTGTGATGGAATATTATCCTCTTTATACAGGTTTGCATTTCAAAAATGGAGTATAATTGATAAACACCTTTAAATACGTATGAGAACTAAATTGTTGATTAATTTCATTGTGTAACTTCTAGTTGTTAGTATGCAATTATACAATAACAAGTAATTATGTAATACTTAAGAAAAATAAACTCTTCCCAAAAGGCTTTCCACTTTTGTAAACAGTTACAGACTGTCATAGAAACCCACAGGGCCAGTTCTACTGTGTCCTACACTCATTATGAGTTAGAGTTGACTTGATGGCAGAGTGAGTTTGTTTGTTTCCTTGTTTTGGAAAAGGAAGGAAGGAGGAAAATGTTAGTAGCAGAAGATGCTAAACTGTGATGCTGACGCAACATTCACCTCAGCCAATCGTACAGTGAGCTCCGGAGCTGGAATGAGTTGGCTTCTGAATTGTACTGAGTAGGGCAGGAGGAGGAGGCCCTATCCCTGTGCTTATTCACAAGTCTGTACATTCCTCACTCTGATGTGATCGGTCCCATATATTTCAGAGAAAAATAAATCCAGTAGTCAGATAGGTTCATGTTTAGATTTTCTCTAGAAATTTTCATGGAATTTGTGGGGAAAGGCAGAGAAGTAAACAATATAAACTATAAGAGTCTAATTGAAATAGATATGTATATATGTGTATACAATATATATCTATATATAGTTGACTTTTTCTTTAAATTAAACTTCTCCTGTGGCTTGGAGCAAGAACTATTCTTTCTCTTCACATGTCATCTGTAAATGTAGCAGCCCACTCTCTACTGTGCACTGAGATGTAAAAATGACCAATTTCACAATTTAAAAGAAGTTTTGGTAATTATTTAAATAGTAATGACTGCTGTAAGTATAAAATAATGGTCTGCTCATAAATGGCTGTGTACGTTGAGGATGAACATCTAGGCGTTGCCCACTCACAGGCTGCCTTAAAGACTGTCTCCCGATTCACAATCTTCACCAGCCTTTGGGATGAGAATTCCACCCAGTGCTGCTAACCTCTCCATGGTGGTCTTGGGATTTATCTTGATCAAGTTGCACACCTGAGACATACACACGTTGTTGGCATTGAAATGAAATTGCTCACAGAGAGTATATGATGTATTATAGGAAAATTCCATCAGAAGCCATCTTCCCCTTTATACCAGGTGGAAAGCGTCTTTCCATAGGTGTCCCTATCTCTACAGTGTGGCCAAGGTCACCAAGGGTCTTCCCCGACCTGATGCAATGCAATTATTCCGGCCTCGTCACTGGAAGAGAGGAGTAATCAGATGGGGACGCCAGCCAATAATTGTTTTTTAGTTTTTTTTTAGCCCTGCTGCTCACTGGTGGTAGTGAGGTGAGGTGAGGGGGGAAGGGTGGGGTTTACAAGCCATTCTGAAGGGCAAAGATGCTTTTGTGTGGAGAGAAAGGGGTAACTGCATAGTGCGTAGTGGTGCTGCCACAAGGACAAGGATTCAGATTCCACAAGCCATTTGTGGGGGAAATGAGGAGACTGTTCCCTAAAAGGCTTACAAAATCTTGGGGGGCCAAATGGGATCGCTGTGAGTTGGAACGGACTTGTTTTTGCTATTTTTGGTGGGCCATCAATACTGCTACTGCTCCAGCAGGATAGAGGTAGATAGTGCTAAAGCGGTGACTTCTCTCAAAATTGGAATTCAGCAGGTAAGTTGTGACTTTTTAAAAATGTATAAACAATACTTTTCAAGGAGTGATGTAAATAAAAGAATGAAGAAAAAATACCATGAAAAAGGACTACAATATTTGGGTGTTGAATCCCTGATGGTGTAGTGTATTTATTATGTGCTGGGCGTGTAGTAGGCAAGTCGGTGCTCTGCGGAAGAAAGGCAAGGCTGTCTCATCTCGCAGGGAGCAGTTGGTTCTACTCAGCTCCATATGGTTTCTCTGGAGCTCTGAGCCAGAGCAGACGGATGGCAGCGATTTGGGGAAGTTGTTCTTCTGGGATGGTTACTGTGCAGCAGGAATTGGGGAGAACAAGAGCAGTGGGGTGAAGGACTGCTGACTTTCAGTATAAACCCTAAAGTGAAATTTGTCATTTAGAATTATGTAAGTCAATTTCCTTGATAAACATAAAATAAAACACAGCAAATAAATATAATTCTATAAAAATAAAATTGACTGGTCCTTATGATTGATTACAAATAAGCTTTCAAAATGAACAGAGGATACCAGCAAAGAAATCCTCTAGGTTAAAAGTTTATGTGCCAAAGTACATGTACATAAGATTAAGTCAGCTTGTCATGATATGCATAATTATTCTGCCAAAACTAAAGGGAAAACAAAGCAACATAATTAAAGTACACCTGACTTATAAACACTAGACTTAGAGAACTCAGTATAAATTCAATTTTTGTGTGCATAAAAGATACTACCTGTATTTCTAAATTATGAAATCATTTTAAAACCCCAAGGAAGCATCCCATTGCAGTTATTCTTTGTCTCAATGTTTATTTAAAAAGTTCAGTAAAATAACATGGTATCACAGTTCAGAAATACTTTATTCTTACTATAATTTAAATGGAAAATCTAGTCATTTTTTATTTTCAACAATGAAATTTATAAAAATAATTTTACATTTATAAAATCAATCATTTTTCACAATAAATTATTCACTTTTATCACCTGAAAATGTTTTTTATTATATAAAAACAATAACTTCTCTTGTCCACATGCTGAAAATATCCATTTCTCTTTATCAAGCATTTCTGAAAGCTCAGTGTATAAAAATATTATACTACAGACACCCCTGATAATAGTTATTAGAACAAAATCATTAGTAGTAATTTTTGAAACATAGTTGCTCAGTAAGTACTTGTGGATAAATTAAAGAGTGCACTAGAAGGGAATTGTATCTTTTCGACTTCCAAAGTTACATTTTCATGTCTTCTAAGAGAACAACACACACAAGAGAAGCAGAAACCCTACAAAATATGCTTGTATTAATAAAAAAAATCAAAGACATTCCTATCGTAAAATAGACAGACTACAGTGTATTTTCAAACATTAAGAGTTCAAAACAAAGATTTTTTTTTAAAAGTCCATCTTTCTGAGACATACTTTATAGCTTAACGAGGATACTAGATCTTGGAGAAATTGTGCCGATTCTACTATGGAAAGATCACTGTAGGTAATAATCTCACTTGCAAAGCCAGTAAGATAGTTCACATTAGAAGGAAAGTCCCTCTTGGTTGTTCTTGGCGGGGGGGCGGGGAGGGTAAATGAGTTATACAATGTTATAAATTTTGATAGTTCTCAAAAATTATGTAATTCAATATCTAAATTACAGCCTGGCAATATTCTTTTATTAATACCCAACTGATCATTACCTCACCAGGTACCTCCTGCTTCAGCTCGTGTGCGATAGTCAGAGAGCGGAGGCGCCAAAGCAGGAGACAGTCCGGCTCTAATCGCTTGACAATAAGCCCCAGCATTAGATGGCATAACACAGTTAAAGTCGACAATGAACTGAACTCCGTTGTCTAGGATTATGCATTTAGAAATCACTGGGTTTCTGGATTTTTTAAAATATGCTAAGTAACTGTTGATTTTAAAAATTATATCCTTGTCAGTGTATCATTGTGTTTCGCTTTGTTTAAAAGTTTGTTTAAGCCTTAGGAGACGCCTAGTAAAATTGGTTTCTTATTCTTAATGAAATAGTATACATTCATCACGTAATATAGCTGTGCCACACATACCATGATAGTATTCAGTCAGCCCTGACTTGGGTGTATTTAGGAGCCAGAGTAAGAAGCACACATTCTATTTTCATTCGGCACCAACACTTTCTTCTTATTAAAGCCGATGAGGACTCACTCTTCTACCTCTTTAGGCTTAAAGACTAGTTCAGCCTCAGAACTAAAGATGAATTTATTTTAAAGAGAGAAAAACACAGTCTCTCTGGCAGGGTTGTTGGGAAGATTAACCAGGACAATATGTGTGGTAGACGACTGATATCAATGGTTAATAATAATATTCTCCCAATATTGGTCTTTCAGAGTTACACATAATTTTTGTTGACGAAGGCCTTCGAACTAAAGCCAAGTCTCCCAGTTTCCTTGGGAGCTTGATGTGACCATGTACTAAGCTCAAGCCAACCAGATTCCTACATTTATTGTGTTTCAAGAGAGTGAAACCAATTTCTCTTATTTGCGCTGTTTTAAGGGTATATTTGTTACTTACAGTTTAGCCTGCATTCAAACTAATAAAGTATACTCCGATCTTAACATGTGCTCAAATACAGTTGGACCTCAAGAAAGAGTTATCCCTGGCATGACTGCATAGTTTTCTAAATTTAAGACAGGCCTATTTAAGGATCCCTCGTGGCACAGTGGGTCAATACTTGGGCTTCTAACCTCAAGAATAACAGTTCAAACTCACCAGTAGAAAGATGATGTTCTGTGTTCCCATGAATATTTATAGTGTAGGAAACCCAGTTCTATCCTGATTCATGTGCAAAAAAATACATCTTGTTCTACAGAAATGGCTTTATTTTTCTATCCTGCAAGTTTATGATTTGTAAAGACTTGGTTCATTTTATATTAACCTGGAATTTCTCATCTGCTACTCTCAATCAAAAAAGGACACTTCGTTCTGCATCACATCATGATAAAACAATTATTTACAGAATTAAATTAACTTCAAGACAACAAATAAAAGTAGTACATAAGATTTAACTGGCTTAAAAACAGCTCAAGGGCAGTGAGAAAAATGAGCCAAATAAAAACATCCAAACTCAGATACACACTGGTTTCATCAGATGGTTTTAAGCAATGGCAATAAAAATACAACGCATGAGCATATAAACAAAAAATAGGGGAGCCTCCTATCACAGCACCATGGAGAAGCCTTGGCGAAGGGCTTGCCAAAAGTACTATCCTGAGTTATTTCAAGATGAGAAATTTGTCACATTATGCAGTGCTGTTGGAAGTAAACATATTTTCACAATTGTTTTTGTTTGGGAAGAGCCTGGTGAGAAATCACTGATGCTTGGTTCGCAGTTATTTTGTATTGTTCTTGTCCAGAGACTTGTGGAGGGGAAGGAAGTGGGGTTTCCGGAGTTGCTGAAAAAGAAACGGAAAATTGTAAATGATGATGACTGTGAACCTGACCAACGCCATTAAAGCCCTTCACAATGTTGGACCATATTTTGTAACTTTCTGAAACAGCATATTTAAAGTAGTGATTCATAAAACACATTATCTGCCCAATGGAGATGCACGCCTCTTACTTCCCCCCAAAACATTAAGCTGTAATAGATAACGCTTCACAATTTTATTGTGCACTTAAGAGTGCATAATGCCTTTCTTAATAGGGCTTATCTGTATTTGATTCTCTCACAAACCCAGTAGAAAGGAATTAGTCTAATTAAAACATTGATAGCTTCTCCAACTTTTAGAACACAAACATCAGATGTTTGTAATCACAAAATTCACTTAAAATAAAGCATATTTCATTTAGAGTGTACCAAACTAATGCAGACATAATAGACAGCATGGGTAAAGGGTAAGATATTTTTTGACTGTTTTGAAATCTATATTGTAGTGAAAAACATCTGAAAATGAATGGTTTTCTCACATCAACCTTATTCTGTAATTAACCTTGCTTGTCCCTTCTCTACCAAAGTCAAGAAGGAGCCTGAATATTCAGAAAAAAATATATCTAGTTTGAACATTTCATTGTCTAGGATAACTAGTTCTTCCTGTTGCAAAGTAGTGCCATTTATAAAATCAGCAAAGACTCCTTCTGTACTTTAAATAAATTTGGAATATTTTTCGTATTCAAACATCAAATATATAATATAACTATAAGTAGAAAATATTTGATGATTAAATGAAAGCATTACAAAATGTGTAGGTTCATTCCTCAGTAGTTTTTAAGGGAATTAATATTTCTTTGCACAAATAGTGTATAGGATATCGGTTTTGCAGTTTTGAAATCAAAGCAACCCACTCACATGTTTTATGTGTGCACTATGAATTTATATACATGAGCATCATCACCACGGTGGATAACCATGTGAAAATCTTTAGAATAGATCTCAAATAATGATGGGAAAACCAAGAAAAAAACATGGATAAATAACATCATATCTACTAATTTTTGTGTGTATTTTATGCCTTGTACAAAATACAAACTATCCCAAATTAAATAAGCAAAGTCTTCCTTTACAAATAGTTCTTAAATATATTATCTCAAAGGGGAACATATTGATGAACAGTGAAATGATTCTTAAATTAAACTCAGCAAATATATTTTCAAATGCATAACACTACTCTTTTAAAAAGTAAAAATTCAACCACCACCAGAATTGTTAAGCTATCTTGCAAGTTGAGACCCATCACTTAATGTGTTGTTAATGTATTTTGTTATCCCAGTTTATGAATAACTGATTTCTAAGAAACACCATTCCATGGATTAGCTAGTGGAGTATTGGACTGGACTCTCTGTTCTTGAGTAGCTATTAAATGGAGAGAGCAGCAATTCCTTTACTTTTTTTGGTCCCAAAATTATATGCTTTAAATACATTTGAATCCACATATTAATATTACATACTGTTTCCACCATTTCTATTTTCCTAACAATTTCATATCTACCTCTCAGAGAGTTCCAAAGAACTTTATGTTTAAGACAAAATTTACACAAAAATCCACTGTGCTCTCAGACTGTAAAAGACAGTAGTGCATTACATGGCTTCCATTTTCCTTAGCACCTAGAAGTGTTGTTATGTTATGAACCACTAAGATGTTTACTCACTATTTTTTGTTTTGTTTTGTTTTCTGTTGAACTTTGGAGTGAGACAGCATTAAAATTAGCTGTTATTATTTTTGTTGTTATTGTTTCAACTAATAATAACAGAGCAGAATCGTCCCATGGGATTTTCTAAGCTTTAATTTTTATGAGACCTGATTGTCAGGTGTTACTGCTGCAGCACAGCTGGGTGCATCTGAACTGTCAATCTTTTGGTTAGCAACCAAGATCTTTTTTTTTCAGACTTGATTTTTCTAAACAACTTTTATTGGGGGGCTCTTACATCTCTTAGCAACCAAGAGTTTAAGCACTGAGTCATGAGAACCCTTTTTAGAATTGGCTTTTAAGAGTTATTATCAATTTCATAAATAATAAAGGAATGCATAACAATCAGTCCATCAAATAATTAAATTTTGGTTAACATGGTGTCTTGCCTATACATAAGTCTACCAAAGTCCATAATATTAAGCGCCTGACTACTAACCAAAAGGTTTATGACTTGAATCACCCAAAGGTGCTTCGGAAGAAATGCCTGACATTCTACTTTTGATAGATCACAGTCCCTCTCAAAAGAGCACAGTGACTGAAAAGTCTATAGAACTTAGTCCTACTCAGAAGCACATGGGCTCCCAATTAACTTGCTTGCAAAGGGCAATAGCATAAAGTACTAACCGGACTGCTAACTCGACAAGATATTTCACTACATATATAACAGGTGCACATCATCATGAGTGACCAATCGGGTCACTTCTTTCAAAATCTGTGTTTGTTTTTCAAGACCAGCAATGGCAGTAAATGCATTGCTGTGTTGCCTCTTTGTCTCCCAGCGTTAAGTCCACCTGATACCTTACCCACATAGATACTTGCAGAAGGAAAAAACCGGCCCAGAAAGATGAGGGTGAATGAAAGAAACAAAAGATGATAACACTGCAAATAGAATGTTAACCCAAAGTAAATGGAGATCTATAAGAAATCCTTGACCATGAAAAAGTAAACGTAGACACTGCTGTCATTTTGGTCCCTAAATATGCAGGCCAGGAGCCTTTGTGAAGGGAAGGAAATGTGCAGACACCAATAAGGAAACAGGTTGTACAGAAAAGGGCTAAGACGTCTCCGAGGAAATAAAACCAGCAAGAAGCTTCACATTAAACCAATTCCCGTGGATGTGTTAGAACCAGGAACCAGGGTGTGGGCCCAAACTAGGCCAGGTGGGCTTAATTCAGCCAGTGGGGTCAACCAGTACCTTTGACCGCACCTCCCAGCTGGAAGTCCTAAAGGGCAGAACCTAGAGACCACGGGGGCCTTTCCTGCTGCTCCTGGGCCTTCTGCTCAGCCCAGCCGTGGTCTCTGCGGCCCCAGGCCTCCACGTGTGGGTGTGCAGTCTGGTGAGTTGCCCGTGTTCAGTAACTGAACCCTAAAACTTTTCTGTCCATTATAAAAAACCCACTTGGAACACAAACCAAGCTTTGGTGTGATTTCTTTCTCATGTGCTGCCAAGAACCGAGGTATTTCCCACCTGAGGAACCTAACAGAGTTTTCCTAACATTGAATATTCAGATGATAAAATGTTGAAAGCTGATCGAAACTTTGAAAGAATGGAAACTCGCCAAGATGCAGAAAATCTTTGTATCTTAAGGAGTGTGGCGGGAAGACCAACACGGTTCAAACTACTTTTTATGTTGCTCTTTTTTTAAATAGTTAAGATGTTTTAACTTTCAATGTTTCCACTGTTTTAAATGATAATGCACTAATGGTTAAAGCCCTCAAATGCTAACCAAAAGGTTGGTAGTTCTAACTCACCAGTCTTCACAGGAAAAACAACCTAGCCATATGCTCCTGTAATGACTTAAAAATATATCTGTGTGGATACTAGACTATTTAAGAACCAAAGTTATGGACACTTTTGGGCCATCATCAAATACCTTGAGGGGATAAAGAATTAGAGTTTGGGAGTTAGGGCCATAGTTGTGATGGAAATCTAGGTCATTATCCTAACGTCCACACACAAAGACAATGGTCACATTACTCTGGTGAGTAATGAGTAGGGTTGTAGAAGCTTGTCAGTAGCCACCTGTGACTGAATTACTGGTCGCTCCTCTCTGAAGTAAAGAACTGGGAGAAAATCACTAGATGGCCGGGAGCGGTTAGACCATGCCAACCCCAGTCTAGATGATGCTGGACTGACACTGCTGACCATCTGACAGCATTACAACGAAGGACCCAGCTGGGAGGGGAGAACACGATGGAGTGAAATGCAAACTCATAAAAAAAAAAAAAGACCTACAATATCCAGACCTAACACTAAGAAGGACTACTCTCCTCAGAACAATCAATTGTACAAGACCAGGACAGCATGTGTTCGGAATCAAAGCGCAAAAGGCAGGCAGAGGCAGGACCGGGCAGGTGGAATTGAGGGACAAAAGGCAAGACGTGAGAAGAATGTCGTTATCTTGGGAGGGTGACAGTCAATGCTAAGAAACAAACTACGTAAAATTGTTGAGTGGAAAATTACTTTTCTCTGTGAATTTTCACCCACAAAGACAATAAAAGGTAAAAGAAAAAAACATATCGCTTAGGAAACCTTCTGGGACAGATCCTCCCTGTCAGCTCCACCATTGTGAGGAGTCAGGATCAAGTACAGGGCGCTTCACAATAAGGCACAGTGCAAATCTAAAGGAAAGCGAGCTTTTCGTGCTTTGACAAACACTGCCAAAGGTCCCAGGAATCCTTCTCACGGTCGTTATTAGGATTCCTTTGCAGGATTTCACGTCGAATGGTGAGTTTTATGGTCACACAATGCCATGCACAGCAAGGACAGCCTGGAAGATCCTTTATTGATAATGTAATAGATTCTCTCCTCATATTCTACTTTTTCTCAGATAAGTAAGTGTAAGAAATACTATTGATGGAAGGTGACTCAGACACTCACAGATTTGATCTGGATGAACAAGTGTTGACATGGAACTTATAAGGATCGTTTGTCCAGTTAATGGATCTTGAGACAAATGCGGGTACACTGGGTGATGGAGATGGCTGGCATCAGTGGAAGCACCTACAAACGACACAGAGATGCTTGCATTAGCGATGCTTAATCAGGAAGAGCACATTTATCTTGGAATAAATGCTTTGATTGGCAGCCTGAAAATTGCCATTTTTGCAAAGTGCTTTTTGGGAATTCAAAAATAAAGTAATAGAACCACTACCATTTTAAGGACCATGTCAGCCCTCACTATACACTGGCTAGATTAATGTTGCATCATATTATGTTGTATATTAATAATGGACTATGTGTGCTGCTTCCTGGAATCATTAGGTTTGTTGCCTGTGTTAAGGCAATTCCAAGAATCACTTACCTCAAGTTTATGGTATTTGGGATCACCCTAATAGCATAAACAACCTTTATTTCAGAAAGATACCATTAGGAACACATTATGCACCAAAAAACTAAATATAAATAAAGTGATTTTAAAAGAAAATTTGATTTAGATTAGAACTCAATATAAATGATTTAACAACTTATTCATGACATTTATGGCAGCAATGAAATCACATTTCCCCCTCACTCTTTTGTATCAATTAATTGCTCATGATTAAGACACTAACTGCATATAGTTATAGGTTATATTATAAGGCTTAAAAGGAGGCCTGTAGCACTGTAGGTAAGGCATTGGGCTACTACCTACAAGGCTGGCAGTTCAAACCCACAACTGCCTTGTACAAGCAGAAGGAGGCACTTTGCTCTAGTAAAGATTTACAGTCTCAGCAACTCAATATAAGATTATTATAAGTTGGAATCAACTTTATGGCTATGGGCTTGCTTTTTGAAGCAGATGTGGGTGGGTAAAGTTTTAAAGGGTCTAGGCATATATATATATAACATAATATATACTATATATATATGGAATACATAATATATACTATATATATATATGGAATACATAATATATACTTCAGTGGTTCCAAAATCAGCTAATAAATTCCTATTTTCATATTTGGAAGGGTCTGGAAGTTGAGGTCAGAGAATGTGTGTTGCGCAAAGATGGCGCAGACTAATAAGTAGAAGACTAACCGGGTTGGAGGTTGGGGGTCGGTGTAAGTCAAACCTTTTTGACTGCATCTGATGTGTCTTACAGACTTTCTGAATATTAAAGAAAAATGCAGGGTGGGGGGGTGGAGTCAGAACACCCAGCAACTTTAAAAAGTAAACAAATATGGACAAAGCAGGTCAGATGCTTAAAATAAGTGTAGGCCAAATGCGTTCCAAAGTCCTCAGAATAAATGAAATGGAAATTCTTGCAGATACTCACCGCCCAGTAACATTTCCTGGAGTAGGTTGTCAATTTTCACCATCCCCAAAAGTTTCACAAACTGTATTTGCTCAATCATTTGCCAGGTAATGCTCTGCAGCGTTGGCAACAGCAGCAGCAGCTCCCCAAACCTGCCGCGGGAGTCGTACTGCCGGTCATTGATGTAGTCTTCCAGACTAATCTGAACTTGGAATCGCATGTTCTTAATTTTTACCGGGTCACTCAGCCCTTTCGCGTCTAATAAAAGAAGAACACGAGGAATCCACAGATTTAATCTAAGTAGAGCAACATATTTCATTTAATCTAAGTGAGAGCAACATATTTCAACATTCAATAAAAATAGTTCAATTTTCATTATATCTATTTGTCTAAGGAACTTTAAAAACAAACCTGGGTCAAAAAATACAATTGCCTTCAAGCAAGCATATTCATTGTCATCAATCTGAATTTCTTGAAATGGCCGGACGAGCTCATCTAGAATCCGATTGGCCACACGGCTTATCTCCACTTCACAGCTGTTACGGTGAATAACGTAGTTGTTTCCTAGAAAAAAATAAATAAAGTCACCCCTCCCACACAATATAGTGTCAGGTGTTGTTTCCATTTTTACAAACCAATTTTAAAAATGGTCTTCCCTTGAAGGTATAGCAATAGTGCTTCCTCTCAGGATGAATGGTTACATTAGTAAAACTTCTTAAGAACACTTAAAGGATCAATAACATTGATAATCTGATCACATGCATTTTAACAGCTTCTGTCGCTAGTGATAAGACTAAAGTACAGGCTAATAACAAGCTAATAATTGACAAGGGAAAACTATAATATAATGATTAGCTTTCCATTATGTCAGTCATCTATTAGTGTCTCATTAATGAACATAATACAAAATCGAAAGAATTTTTCTTGCTCCCAACAGATTAAAAATATTTCATTTGTACTCTACATGAATGCAGGTATAAACACTATTAAGGGGCAATTTTAACAAATCTAACTAAATGCAGCAGCTTTTTTTTTTAAGAAAATAAGCACATTTATTCACATGAGATGCCTCATTTAAATAGCAAATTCCATTTTCCTGAGTTGCTTTAAATTAAGGTGGGATGGCGATTTTTACCTGGTGAATATAAGGAAATTCAGAGCCAGACTACTCAAGCCTTAAAGATATTGCTAACTTACTCTACTTATCCTATGGTGACAATTACACTTCTGAAGTACCAGTTAAATTATTTCATAAAAAATTTTAAAAGCACAGTCTTCTGATTTTTCTTCTTTTTTAAAAAGACAGGCAAAGATCTTCAGGACAACAGCATGCACAAAAGCAGTCATAACATACAAACGTGTGCATTCTTATGGATATTTTATCTCAAATATTCGAAATAAAACAATAAAGAATTGCAAATGGAATTTACTTAATTTTGTATTTCTTTTATTATAGTATATTTAGATCTATAATGAGAACCATGCTGTAGATGTTTATTAAGACTTTAGATTTACAAAAGAAGTTTAAAATAGAATTTAAGAGCCTAGTCTTCATAGCAATGTTACAAGGTTTGCAATCTTGGTTACGTCATTTACGTGCTTTGGGACTTTAGAAAACTCGGTCTCTTTATTAGAAATATAAGTGGAAAGTGGTTGTGCCTACCCCTAATGTTACTCTGCAGATCCCATGAGATAATAGGTAAGCATGTAAAACACATAGAATGATGCATTTTACGTAGTAAGTATTAAAACAATATTAAATATTGTTATATTACTTTTATTTGCTTCATTTGGAGATAAAACATCCGTGACAAAATTAGAATAAATAATCTAGTAATCATTTTGAGGGAGCCAAGAAAGGGCTAAGGCTCCCGTAAGCATTAGAGCCATCTTCAACTCTCTAAACAAGAGAACACTTTCGTGAGTAAAAAATTGTGCAGTGTGTGCAGTGGAGGAATGGGACTAAGTATTTAATGAAGACAGAAACTTTTCCTGGGCATTTCCCCACCATTGTACCTACCACTCAATCCTTTTTCCTAAGGTCACTCCTAATATCTATCAGGAATTTTTCTCCACTGGCACATGTTATTGTTGTTGTTGTTAACTTGCAAGACATGTAATGGGAAATAAGATCATACTAGTCTAGTTGCTGTGAGTCAATTCTGACTCATGGCCACAGCATATATGCCAAGGTGGACTTGTGCAACATAGGGTTCCTAAGGCTGGTTTTATTTTTTAAAGAAAAGCAGGCCTTTCTTCCAAAAAGCTTATGGGGAGTCTGGAATCTAAAAGGTTTTGATTAACAACACCTGTAGGATGCAAATGAGTAACATGCTGAAAAGGCTGTAGGTTAAGTCCACCTAGAGGTGCATCTGAAGAAAGTACTGATGCTCCACCTCTCTACTCAATTAGTCATTAATGACCCTATGAAGCACAGTCCCACTCCAAAACTCATGAGGTCACTATTCGTCGCTGAGTAGATGCTAAGTGATTTGGAATTGAACACACTCGCTAAGTTTATTCCCATATAGAGACACCAGCGCTCTGCTGGAGCTTCTTCTGAGTGCTGGACTGCGACCTCAGTGCTGGAGGAGGAGAGGACGAGGCGATCTGCTCCGGTAAAGATTGCAGCAGCTGAAAACGTCCGCGGGGTTTCCGGGAGCGGGAATCAACTCCATGGCAATGGGCTTTTAAAATATATCCTTAATTGTATTTAAAATAATGCATTTCAAAAACTCACTGCCACTGAGTCGATTGGAGTCAGAGCAGCCCCTTAAGGCACAGTAGCTGTTCAGTGAATTTTTATCCACAGGAGCTATCTAAATCAAAACCATGCTGTGAGATACCATGTTGCTCCTACAAGAATGATTAAGATGAAAAACAAACAAATAAAAACAAAAAGAACATTTTGGGGATGTAGGGAAATTGGAACCCTTATTCACTGTTGGGTACTGCCATTGTGAAAAACAGTATGGTAGTGTCTTAAAAAAAAAAACCTAAAATTAGAACTATTATATGACCCAGCAATCCCACTTGTAGGCATATATTAAAACACTTGAAAGCAGAGACTGAAAAAGATTTCTACACCGGTGTTCATTAGGGCACATTTCACAATAGGAACAGATGCAACCCCCTTCAACACCCATCACAGAATGGTGATATGCAGTGCACACGTTCAATGGAACACTGCTCAGCCAACAGAGGAAAGGAAGACTTGCTCCAGGCTACCATTTAGATGGAGCTAGAAGGCATTTCGCTGATCAAGATAAACAATCACAAAAAGACAGACTGTATGCTTTCATTTAGATAAAAAGACAAGACTAGGCAAATGCACAAGGGGGCTTCAAATGGAAGGAAAAGAAGGTTTTAAGACTGATTGTGGTAGCAATTGTGCTTGATGTGATTGAATGATAGAATGATATGATATCTGTATTAACTCCCAATAAAATGATTTTGAAAAAAAGAGAAAAATCCAAAGGTTAGAAAAATACACGTAATTTAACCATTAAAAATAAAATGTTCATGGAAAAATGGATTGAAAAGATAGTGGAGTTTTTCTTGAATGTCTTGGCGGCCCCTTGGATAAGGACCAAAGTAGATTAGTGACTATCAGAGGCAAGAGGGAAGAGGAAAGGTGAGGTTAGTGGTAATGGGAAAATCCCATTGACTAAGGGGAGGGTATACAACTGATTATTGTAATTGGTGTCAATATACTGTACATTTGTGGAAAGTTGAACTCATAAAAGTTGTGTGATAAATACAATTATAATAATAGCAAAGTAGCCCCTGGGGCGCTTATATACAACTGTGTACTTCATGAGACTGATTCTTTAGTTTGATGATTTGAAGTCCTGATTGATTCTTTAGTTTAAAGAGCTGTTTTCAGTGCTCCTGCTCTACCTTCTATTCAGTTATGTAGAGCCTCAGGGATTACAATTTTGAAACTACTCAGGTCACTGAAGTCTCTCTCTATTGGGGCAACAGAAGAACAAGGAAAGTTAGGAATAGAGGAGGATATGAAACAACAAAGCCCACATGGAAGAAGCACACCAGTCTGTGTGATCAAGAGGTGTCGATAGGATCAGGTACCAGACAGCAAAGAAAAAAAAAATCATGTCATTGTGAATGAGAGGGAGTGCGAAGTGGAGATCCAAAGCCCAACTGTAGGCAACTGGACATCCCCTTACAGAAGGGTCTCAGGGAGGAGATGAGCCAGTCAAGGTGCAATATAGCACCAATGAAACATACAACTTTCCTCTAGTTCTTTAATACTCCCCCCCCCACTATCAGGACCCCAATTCTACCTTACAAATCTGGGTAGTCCAGAGTATGTACACTGGTACAGATAAGAGCTGGAAACACAGGGTATCCAAGACAGATGAACCCCTCAGGACCAATAATGAGAGTAGTGATACCAGGAGGGTAACAGGAAGGTAGGGGGAGAAAGGGGGAACTGATCACAATGATCTACATATAATTCCCTCCCTGGGGGATGGACAACAGAAAAGTGGGTGAAGGGAGAGGACATCAGTCAGTTGTAAGACATGACAAAATAATAATACTTTATAAATTATCAAGGGTTCATGAGCGAGGGAGGGGGAAAATGAGGAGCTGATACCAAGGGCTCAAGTAGAAAGAAAATGTTTTGAAAATGATGATGGCAACAAATGTGCAAATGTGCTTCACACAATGGACGAATGTATGGATTGTGATAAGAGTTGTATGAGCCCCCAATAAAATGATTAAAAAAGAAGAAGAAATGGGTTGCCTTGGTGAACATTTTGCTCCTTTCAATGAGACCAGATGAACCAGATAATGTCCAACTACCATTACTGAAAATCTTGATCAAAGCTTCCGTAAATGAATCATGATCAAAGAGGATAAATGCAGAACACCTATTCAAATTGGCATGGATTCTAGAACTGCTGAAGACTGAAGGTGAATGAACCCTTGAAACTATTCTCCTAAAACAGTTTAAACCTTCAATGAAAATAGTCCCTGAATCTATCTTCAAATGGAACAGTTACTTAACCTAATTAGCAAAAACTAGTCTGCCTTGTTTTGGAAAGGATGTACATATGTACAAATGTTTTTGATACAATTGATGTATGGATTGTTATGAACTATAAGAGCCCCCAATAAAATGATTTATTAAAAAAAACTAGTCTGCTTCAAGCATTGTGTTTTTTAAAGAACTATCTATATGAGATTCAACTGACACAGCAACTCCAAAGATTAGACAGGAGCCTTAATAGAATGTAAATTTACATTAATGAGGGCAGAGAGTTATGTTATGAACAACTCAAAATACAAAGGCTATCATAAGTGCACAACTGAAATATATAATCAATGTCACCAAATATTACAAGTAGAAATTGCTAATTTGGTGTTCATTTTGATGTATATAAATTCTCAACAACAATAAATAATGTTCATAGAAAAATACGTATTTTTTCATAAATATATTTTAAAATTATGAAGCAAAGAGGGGATAAAACAAAGCCAAACAGAACTCCATTAATCATAACATGATCATGCAAATCACCAGTTCTTTATTCTGATCTAATTTGAACATGTTTCAAAATTGTTTATTGAGAAACATACTTTCTTCCTTTCCTTTTTAGGTCTAAATACATGCTGATCATCTCAATGCATTCTTTCCAAACTTTCCCAAACTTCTCTGGAATCAGTGCAAGAAAAAGTAAAGTTTCAATGAGGGTATAATCAATTAAATCCAATCTTTGATTCTTTAAAAATATTTGTAAATACCTGGTATGTACAGAAAAGGTCTTGTATATTATTGTAAGAAAAAAAGAGTATAACTTCTTCCTCAAAAAAACCCCAAAACTTACCCAAAAGCAAAATATCTTTATAAACCATGGATCGCTTTGTGGCTCCAAGAAGTAAGTGTTCTCCGGCATGAGCTCTCAACAGGGCCACCTTTAAAGAATGCCCAAGTTCAACAATTAAAAATACAACAATTCAACATGCTGTGATATTAATCTGATTTAGAGTCTGATCATCTTTGATCATTTTGATTGTTTGACTAAATGATAATTGTGGTGGGAGCCAGTCCCACACAACTAATCATGGGTTCAGTAAGTGCAATTGTATAGTTGAGAAATTATAGTAGTCATAGGCAATAGGGAGAGATGGGAGAGAGTAAAATAAAGTCAGACACATTTCATGGTAGCATGCTCACCTCCTAGCTGGCCATGATCTCAACAGGCAGGTCCATGCACAGTGCGGGCAGAGAGGGCAGGAGAGAGTGGGCGATTTATTGCTAACCAAGGCTTATATATCTTTGGGGGTGTGCATGCCTCCTAATTACAGGTAAAGACATACATCACAGGAAGGGGTTCTACAATAGGCAATATGAGCAATAGGAGGGGGATATACAATGGGCATATGCATAACAGGAAGGGGATGGGCTAGGGGTGTAAACATGATAGGAAGGGGAGGGACTAGGGGTATGCATGTGACAAGAAGGGCAAGCCCTAGATTCATGATGGCAGCCTAACCTTGGTCACCCTTGAGTGGGCTTGACCTCCCTGGGCTCTCCTTCAGGTAAACAATCTATTACTATCCTTATCAAAAGGGAGTTGGTCCTATTTAGGGTGGGACAGACAATGTAGTCTGATTACTCTAGATGGCTGATAACCCTTAGGAAGAATAACCCCTGACCTAGTTCTGTTGACCTCCAAGTGTGTATTCATTTACCATGTGTAACAAGCAACTAAGTTTGGCATGTATTCGGGGGGGAGACAACTTGGGAGAAATATGTCTGTTTCCCACAGATAATACTCAAAGACACTTATGATAAGTAAGCCTTACCAAGTCAAGAAAGTTTTGCCTTTCTCATTTTAAAACTATCTAAAAGTGACTAGCATATAGAAAGATTGGATAGAATAAACTACTTAGTAGGATGGAACTATCTAGGAATGAATGGAATAGAGGGAGATTTCAGAAAACACAGAATCGCTGTGCTTGGAAGTGAAGCACAATCAAACAAAGGGAGATCAAACTCCAGCCTGACCTCTCACTCGTTCTTTAAGCTTGCGTAAGTTAACTACTATGTTTGGGATGCGTGGATTTTTATTGAGAAAACAGAGATAGTGATAAAAATCTTCAAGTGGAGTCAGGAGGATTAAATGGGGAAAAAAAGTAAAGTATGATTTCCAGCACATAGTACACTGCATAAACAGGAGCACAGATAGTACTTAGGGTCCAGCGGAAAGAAAATGAGCTTCCTTTCTTATCAAGATCCGGGTTCTGCTGCTTTCCAAATTGGGTATCTCGTTACATTAAACCATTCAATTTAGCCTTATAGAACCAATTACCTTCTGCATATCATTACTAGAAAGAATAGTAAGCATTTCAATTTTAACATTCCAAAGTATTGTTTCATCAACATTTCATCATCTCATTAAATAGCACCCCCATCTGGTGTTGATTCTCATGAAAACCAAGAGTCAATTGTGATTCCTCTGTTTACTTCATCTCTCTCTCCTAATTCCATAGCCAATTCTAGTGGCTATTTCTCCAAAATGATGTCAAATTGATCCAATTCAATCTATCTCCATTACCACCCTAACAACCCAAACCCTTAGGACCCTTCCCTGGGATTACCGAATGCACTCTTAATAGCTATTTGACCTCCATACTTTCTTTCTGATTCCCCACCTCCATCCTTCAGCAGAGCTTCCAGCATGGAAATGAAAATAGTGCTCAGTTAACATTACTGTATTGAAATACTTCAGCGGTTTCTTATTGCTTTTAAAATAAAGTTCAAACTTAATGAGAGCCTCCAGAGAGCCTGGAAGGTCTCCTGTGCTGGCTCCTCCCTGCATCTCTGATCTCATCTTGCCACACCCTCTTACTCATTTTCCTCAAAGCCTATTTTTCCTACCTCAGAAACACGGAGTATCCAATTCCTGTAATACAAATGCTTTCTTTTCAGACACTCGGGTGTGTCATGGATTGAATTATGTCCCTCCAAATATGTGTCAACATGATTCTCAATGGCTTGGCAGTTATGTAATGATGTAATTGGGCACTTATGTCATGATCGTCCAAGAGGCAATCTGCTGTACTAAACCAGCAGCTGTAAAAGGATTTTGAGTGGACTACAACGTCTTTAAGCCCATCATAGCCCTACAAGGGAGTTTCTCTGGGGCATGGTCCAGAATACCTTTTATTTTTCAAGATATGAAAAAGAGAGAGAAATGAGAGATGTTAGCTGAGAGAGGCCCACTACCGACGAGAAAGAAGAGCCAGGAGTAGAGTGCGTTCTCTACTGATGGTGCCTAGGACCTTTGCTAGAACCAGGAGACTCGGTAAGCCTTTCTCTAGAGCCAACACCCTGAATTCTGACTTCTAGCCTCCTAAATTGTGAGAAAATACCTTTCTCTGTGTTGAAGTCCTTTGCTTGTGGTGTTTCTGACATAGTGGCCTTAGATATCCAAGACAAGGTGCTTGTCATTCAGCTCAGTGGAAATCTTTTCTGATCCTCAATTTCTCGTATGTCTTAACACTTCAACCCCAATTGCTCTCTGACCACTCATCCTATTGTATTTTTATAGCATTTCCTAGAATGTGGGGCCACCTAGAATTAACTTACTCATGATTTATAAATGTCTTTTTTACTGGTCATCGCTTCCAAATAAAAAGCCAATTTATGAGAATAATGAAACAATCTATTTGTAATACTGAGTACCTACTGTATTTAAATTGCAAAAGTAGGCACTTCATAAATATTTATTTGATTAGTTTAACTGAGTAAATGTAACTGATCTAGGGCTGAATATTTGTAACTTGTAAAATTTAGGTTATCAAAGCTATACTATAAAACTCCTAAGAGTACTACATAAAATAATGCAATTGATAATGCAATCAATAGCTGCTTTCCAAATGCCTTATACATTACAGGCATTTACTAATTCATTGCTATTAATATTAATTGATTAGTAAAAAAGAGTTAGGTACATAAAAACCACTTTTGATCAATTATTGGGTTTCACTTCCTCAAGATTTCAATTCTTGTTTTCATCTATAGAAGTCAGCAACTTCTAAAGAATACTGATAATAAAAAATATACAACTGATAAATAATACAACCCTACTTATATTACTTGGAGAGAGACTAGTCAGTTTTAGCAATTTAGCATTATTCACTCTGGCATAACCTCCTAAGCTAAGCTATCTTTATGATATGTCAATAACAGTGACTCATACCAGGAAGGCAATTAAAAAACATGATTTTAGATTTCATAGCATTCTTCCTCTCCATGTGAAATGCACCCTTAGAAATATAACTGCTAACTTTCTACAGTTTTCATGATTATGTAAATAATTAGCCCTATTGCTTTTATTAAACAATTGAGCATTTTCTATATCTTTCCTTATTTTTTGTATGAATGATAAAGATAAATGTACTAAAATATACCTGGGCAAAGTAAATATTATGGTCAATTTAATGTGGAATAATAGAAGTATTTTGAATTCTTTTGATCTACAGAAATAAAAGTGCATACTTCTTATTAAATAGAATTAGATGAAACTTAAAAATTAAAAAAATGTATAGACTAAATACTAAATTAAGATCCCTAAACTATAAAATGACCCCCAAATATTATACATTAAAATGAATATACAGATAAAAATCTGAAAACATATGCATTAAAACAAGAAAAAAATCTTAATTCTACTCATTTGAGAATTACAGACTGTGTTGGCAGACATTTAATATTTAAACTCAGCTTCTCATAAAGTAACCTTTATCAAAATACTAAATTTGCTAAGAGTAGTAATTCAAAGAACACAATCTCTAAGAAACGATTCAGTTCAAGTCAGGTATAATTTCGTTCATGTGTACCTGATCATCCAATGGTAACTCGCAGAAGGCAGGAATATATTTGGCCCATTCCACCAGGACCAGGAGTTGCTGCTTCATAGATTCACAGACATCACCAATACTTGCAATTTTCTTAACATTTATGTCAGTGCTTGCCCCAGGACTTGTGGCAGATATCTAACATCAAGAAGAACAGTACACTGAGAAATCTTTTTGGATAATACACTGCCGACATCCCCCTGGTTTTATTATTGCAATAAGTGAGTGTCATTGAAATAGGTACTATCATGGCCATACTTTCTTGCAATGCCCACGGAGTAACCCTTTTTCTTTGGTAGAGTATCTGTCAGTTTATAACTTAAACTGAACATACTAAAGATATAAAGCATGATTTTGGGAGCAGTATAATTGTAAAAGTTAAATCTGTAAATCAAGTTAACACAGCTTTTGGGGGAGTTCCATTCATTCAAAATGGCTTTAAAAGAGAAGTATCTTGTGGTCAAGTGAAATAGTCTCTGTTTTTGTTTGTTTAATTAAAAAAAGATATTCGGGCAATGAATGTACAAATGCGCTTTACACAATTGATGTATGTATAGATTGTGATAAGAGTTGTATGAGCCCCTAATACAATTATTAGAAAAAAATAAATTAAAAAAAGATATTCCTATGAAATAATTCCATTTTTAAATTTTCTGAAGATTATGAAGTAAATGTTCCCAGAGGATAAAATCTACTAAATCAGTGAGACAAGACTTAGACAGGAAGACAGGGCTGCTTATATTGTTGCATTGAATGACAGCTTGTGAAAATCAACTATAGTTTGAAGAGCTTATTGTATACTAGCATATGTTTAAAATTGCATATAATTTGGAGCTATACAAAAGTGGTGTTAAAATCATTTTTGCTGAGAAAAGCATTGTTCATACAATTCTTACAAATTTAATTATTGAACTTAATGTGTGTGTGTGTTTATGCATGTATGAGCAAGAAATATTCCCACATAGCCTCCCTATAAGTCATCCTAAAAATTCGCTATAGGATAGTTATGCAGTTATGATGATAAGGAGAATATTCATTTCATCATATTACCCATGAATTATCAAAATGGAAAGTAATTGTGTTGGTTAATAGGAGCTCGTGAACAATTTAGCTATTTCATAATTAGCTTTATAATAGAAAAATATCATTAGCATATCTTATTGAGAAAATGCTAACATAAACTCTTTGTTTTCCTGATGTCACAATAATTTATTTTTATGTACATAATCAATAATCTATTTTGTGTGTTTTCTTGTTTATCATTGATATTCTCTTTCTATAAATTCAAAGTCACGGGAACAGCCTTTTTCTCATGTTTTCTGAATGATACCTCTTCCCTTAAACAGGTCTATAAACCAGGATGCCAAGATGATTTCTTGAATCCAAAACCTTTTTAAGGAAGGAGACGCTAATGGCAACTCTCAACCAAACTCTACAAAAGTTATGGTAACTGATTGTACTGTTCCAAGAAACATAATAAATACTTCCCCCCAAGCATTGTGATATGCATTCAGTATTTTAAATCAAACTTGTGGACAAACTTTCTTAAAACAATCTTAGATGCATGTCATGCAGCTGTTTAAAAAATAGGCAAGGAAAATAAAAACTAAAGCAAGCAGTCTCACTCATACCTTCAACCTCAAGCTCTTGACTTAATATAAATAGAATTCATATTAGTCATGAATTATATTTGCTTGAGTTAAGACGATTGTAACAGTATGCATTATGTCTAAATAAATATCTGACTTTATTAAATAGGCTAAAAGGAGTCCTGGTGTGTAATGGGAGAAAGGCGAGGTTATCTAGTCCCACAAAGAACCACAGCCTCAGAAACCCACAGGGGCAATTCTACTCTGTCTGAGACGGTCACTATGAGTCAGAAATGACTAAATAGACTGGATATTAAACAGAGTTGGATGCTGGTGGGCACCAGGTACCTGGCGAGACAGAACTTCAGCTTGGGCCAGCGTGTTAATGGAGGGACTATTGCTGTTATCAAACGTGTTTCTTCTGGTGCTTATTCTGTCCCGTTCATTTTGCACAGCTAAGGGAGAAAATCATAGCATTTATTGACCAAGTCTCTTCCATAAATGTCAAGACATACAGTTGTAAGTAAACATAAATACTGAAGAATGTGAGAAGAGGCCCTTTTGAAGTCCTGCGCTGGGGAGAGTATGTGAGCTAAGCAATATTTTCATTCTGTACCAATTTGAAAAGGAGGAAGAACCAGGCTTGTTACTGGAATTCATAAAATATTACTGTTTAGAACTCCATTATGTCATGCATATTGGAATTATTGGATCAGCCAGCTCAACCACACTGTATCATTCATAGGATGTTTTCTTTACTTTTCTCAAAGTTAATAAAATCATTAAGATAACTACAAGAAGAGTATTGCCTATGAATCTGACCCGGTCAAAGATAAGTGGATATTCGCTATATGAAAATATGAGTCATAGAAATATAAAACTTTTATTTTCTTTTTCTATGATGCACTAGCAAAAATGGCAAGTAACGTGATATGGTATGAATTAAAATGGAAATGTTCTACCACTGTACTTTGGAAACAGACAATTTATAATCAAGATTTCACAGGTTCACAGATGAAGAGGAATTTTGCTCCAGGAAGAAATACCCCTAAAGTCTTATACATATGTTGATTTAGACATTTCTGAAGATGAGATATTGGCCTTGGAGTTTATTTAAGACTTTGGGGGTAATATGAAGGGGTGAGGGTGTTTTACATGTGATGAGAACATGCGTTTTGTGTGTGTTGGTGGGGGGGAGCCAGGGGGACAGTCAAAGGTGGAATGTTATGGATTGAACAGTGTCTCCCCAAATGCTTGTAATCCCTAATCTCTATTTCTGTGGTTGCCATCCCATGTGTGAATTGCTTGTCTTTGCGGTGTTAATGAGCTAGAACTAGTATGGGGGTCTCTTGAGTTCATCTCCTTTGAGATATGAGCACTCAAACAAGCAAAAAGGGGAAGGAGGGACAAGATGGCTGCCCACACACAGGGCGACCACCAAGGAACGTGAACTTGTAAACTGAAAGTTGAAAGACTTTCCTCTCCAGCCAAGAGCAAGGAAAGCCTTCCCCTGGAGCTGGTGCTTCGAATTCAGACTTCTAGCTTCCTAACCTGCGAGCGATACATTTCTGTTTATCAGAGCGACCCACTTTTTTTAAGGGTCTATTTAAGGTTATTTTAATATTGCAATTTTATGATCATCTATGAACCACTGTCCTTTAGGCAGTTTAAACATGTGAATAAAGAAAATGACGCAACAGGTAGCAATCCCTCAGGTGCAAATCTAATAAGAACCCCAAATCACTATTAACTCTCAATTAAGCTGAAAAAGAAAATAATGACCTTTGGGCTGTAAATTGGAATGAGTTATCATTTTATTGTAAAACTCTATTCACTGGTAGCTTGTACTTATTTTTGACAGAAATAGTTACTGATTTTTAGCTTAAACCGCTTTACATGAAATTTTATGCCAACATAAGAAAGGCAGATGTTAGCTGTGCTTTTCTGTCATGAACATCTCTCTAAAAAAGGTAAAAGATATTGGGAACATTTGTAATCTTCCCACTATTACAATTTGTTATATAAAATCATGTGTATATATATTCTCTAATACAGTGAACCCTCGTTTATCGCTGTTAATCGGTTCTAGACCCTACCGTGATAAATGAAATTCCACGAAGTAGGATTCCTTATGTGTAAATCAAATATTTTTGTAGTTAGAGCATAGAGGACATGAAAAAACACCCTTTAGTCACCATTACACTAGTATTACCCAATTTATTAAACGAAAAAGGGAAAATACAGTAAAACATTTTGGACGTTACAATGATCATTTATTATTTATTATATTATTTATGGCATCAAGCGTGTACAGTATGAGCCAATCAGTGGCAGTAATGACAGAGCATGCGCTGTTACGCAAAAACCGCGATAGAGTGAAGCCGCGGAAGTCGAAGCGCGAAGTGGCGAGGGTTCACTGTAATTAGTTTTGAGCTTTGATTATAGGAAATAAGAAACATATCAACTTTAATACCTCAAAGTTACTTCAATCTACTTAGGGGAAATTAATACATTACTTATTCAATAAGTATAATTTTCTTATTTTTGAAAATAATTTTGTTTCACAAAATTTCAAGTCCACATAAGAAGTAAACATTGTGATTTGCTTGTACTTTACAGAAGTGAATCTGGAGCTCAGGTAAAAAATGGTTGACAATGATGGGAACAGTATGTGATTGATCCTGAAAATTGCTGGGCTTTTATGATACTAGAAATAAATTGGTTTGAAGTGAGAAAATTAATAATTCTGTAACATTCATGTTTTTCTTTTCTCTGGTGTTGTTATGTGCTTTAAAAATAAACAAAATGAATGGGTTTCTTGTCAGTTTAAAACATTAGTCACAGAGAGAAAAAGGTTATGTTCAAAATGGACCTCCATGATAACTAACCTTTGCACTTTTGCACTACAAAGGGTTGATTGAATTTGATTTTTAAGTTGCTAAAACTAAAATACATAAATATCTTCTAGCTGCTATCTCCTCCAAATATTCATAATGTGTTCAACATATTGGTTTCTAAATTAACTGTACTTATGATGTAGGCTATTTCAGTCAGATTATTTAATATGTTCAGCATGAAAGGAGGGTAATTTGTCTCTTTTGGTCACTCCCGCAACACCTAGTACATGACTTGGAAAGTAGTAATACTACATAAATATGTACTGAATGAATGAATACTTGTATGTGTTGATGTAGGACTGAATGAAGACTAGATGTTTGCTTAATTTTTATGAATCAAATAAAAGAGCCAATTTTTATTGACAATAAAGAAATACAATTTAAAAATACATTTATAATTCATAACTCACTGATAGATTTTTACCATTTACTTTTGAATAGAGCATTATTGGTATGTTTAGGCAATTATTGTTATTTATTTTTTTGCCAAGGAAAAGAGCACTGGAGCTAAGGTTCTCTGGAATCAGGCCCCAGGTTTAGACCGGCTCCAACCCTCATGAGCTGCATTACCTCGGCCTAGCTTCTTAAATTCAAGGAATCATAGATTTTTCATCAAAGTAATGATTAGGAAAATTACAGGACCCACATGGAAAGGTGACCGTAATAAAAGAAGAATATACGTGCTATCATTTTTCATCAACAATGTTAATTATTAGTTTATTATTACCTTCTTTTTTCATTCCTGCTCTAAAGCATTTTCTTAATCGACAATATCTACATTGATTCCTTTTGTCTTTGTCAACAATGCATTGCCGACTGAACCTGGAATATCAAACAAAGATGTATTAATTTGCATAAAGGTATTTATTAAAAGGCATATGTATACATATATGTTAAATGAGTATGGTAAAATTTGCCTTACTAAAAATATGTATAAGAATAATCAATTTTGATATTTCCATAGTATCTCATCATCAGCATATATATAGATATGGAAATAGAAACCCTATCTCTCCTTCAGTCTTCATAATAACTTCATTCTGAATGACTATCTTGGGTGTTGTCAAGGTCCCATAATCATGTTATTATGAATCAGGAAAGTCAAATGCTATAAAACTTTGGCATAAATAAAACCTGTTTATTGCTGAATTATTTTGGTTTTATGGAGACAATATCAGAACATCATAGCCCTGTATTTTTATTTTCATGGTTTCCACTTTATAAATTCTCCCATGAATTTTAAATGTAGCCACATCCAAATAAAGTTTACTCCAAACCATGACCTTTCTAGTAGCATTTCATTGCCACCAGGGCTCTGAAAGTATTGGTGTTTCCCTATTTGAAGTTGATTATTAATAATGAAAATAAATAAATATACTACTTATAGCAGAAGATAATTATTCTAAATATGTGGGTGGTTATTTGAAATTGATGAAAAATAAATTCTACTATGACTCAATTAAGCTAGAAGAGCACTTTTCTATTGTATTGGGAGGTGCGGAGGAATACATCATTCATTTGTGGACATATGATCCAAGAGACCAAAATACCAGTAAACACAACATAAGAGCATATGCAATTAAGATGAAGTTAATAAAATAATTGAATCTATATATATTAATACCCACTGTGTATATGATCCTTATGTAGGGTTAAAGAAATAAATTTTACCTAGCTCCTCTCTTCAAGGAAACTACTAATGGGGTACATATACAAGCTTATTAGTAACCATGGGAAAAATCTAAGTGTCAGAAGCATTAAAACGAGTGGTTTAAAGTGCTCCGAGAGGGGGTGTTCAATGTCAGTATGACACAGCTAGTGGGGATATTGCAGAAATGGGTTTTATAGATCTCAGGAATTAATGAATTTGTGGACAGCAATATATGAGGTTTAAAAACTTCTATGCCCTTTAAGGTTACACCAAATACAGTAAGTTAAAGCCCCCAAGTGAAAAATCAGAGTTTGCTAATATCCAAGTAGGTAAAGAAGGCTAGATTGGTAGGAGAATGCAAGACAGGAACGCAGGGATATAAACTGGACACATTGTTGGAGCATATTTTTAAATTCCAAAAGTAGCTATGAGAACGCTTCTTTCCAACTCTAAAAGACACTCCTGAAAGCCCCGTGTGCTCCTGTTACCTGATACAACTTGCTGTTGATTTAGATGCTTTGAATCACTGTATTTTATTTATCTATGTATATGAATATATATATGTATACACACAGTCTTAAACCGATAAATGTGTGCATATATGTATATGACCAAGCACATGACTCAAAAGTGTTTGCTTTTTATTTTGTACACAGTTAATTTTTCCAGAGCATTCGGTATTTAATGTAATCAGAGAGAAGTTACTTTTCGCAAGGGAAATGGTTCTACTTTTACCCCTAGGTGGTTGGCATTTTCAAAAGAAAAGTCTATCTATATGCAAGTTTTCTGTTTTTCTTTCTTTAACCAAGAAGGTTTTCCAGTGAGTGATTTACTTTTTTTCCTTTAACCTACTTCCAGCTCTCATGGAAAAATTAATAAAGAACACTAGTTAGATATTTGAGAAGTTGTATATTAACTCTTTTACACTCCTAGCAGTCAAGTGATAGCATATTGTAAAAGAGTTAACCTCTTCCCAAATATCTAGGTTGTTTTTGTCCAACAGAATAATTATCAATATGCTTCTCATAAATTGAGCACCCAGGATTTTTAAATACAAGTCATTCTTTATTTAATAGCCCCCAGTTAACCTGGATATCCACATTCAAGAATTTTCATATTAAATAAATCAAAGTGCGTTATCTACCTTAGCTGTGCTAGTCATGATGACTAGATATGATTTTTAATAGAATACTACAAAGGTGTGACATACAGTATCACAGTCTTACCCACAGTCTCACATTTAATGGAGATTTTAGATTTGATCCATAGAATTTAAAAAATTCTATGTCAGAAAAAAATCGATGTCTCATGCCTTTATTTCTTGCAAGAAATGATGAAACACTGATTGCTCAAAGGAGCATGTCTAGTACCTGCAGGAATAAACATGGCTCTTGCGTATGCTGCGTCTGAAGAAGCCCTTACACCCATCGCAGCTCGATGCTCCGTAGTGCTTTCCTGTAGCTCTGTCCCCACATATAGCGCACAGACAGTTCAGACCATTGTCTGCGGTATTCATACTCGTTGTTTCAGGGGTAGAATTATCTATGAAAGAAAAAGAATGGAATTCATTACTGCTGTTTCTGGATGAAATTGCCTCCTAAGGATTCATAGGCTTGAAGCTCTTTCTTAGCTTTTTGGACACCCACACCATTTCTCTCCTTTGAACCTGCTAGTCTCCAATACAAGTTTTCCCTTTCACCTGCTAGTCTTCCATACAAGCTTCTTCTCCGTTTTACAGATGACAGGGCTCAGCCAGCCAATTCTACCCTTTCCCTCTGGAAGCTCATCTAATCCTATGACTTAAATAATGCCTAGTGATTAAAAACTCCAAATGTTATTGCTGGTCCTGATGTTGCCCATGAGTGTCCATCTGAAAAAGCAAACACTCTATCTAACACCATCATTTTGATGTCTAATAGGAATCACAAATCAATATAGCAAAAACAGAAATCTTTGATTTTCCCCTTAGACATGTTCTCCTCTCAGGGCTCTCCATGGTTATCAAGGATACTCAGCACCCAAACCAGGAAGTCTTCCTTGAATTCTCACCTTCATCCTTCATACCCATCCACCCCATTAGTAAGGGAATACACACACACACGCACATGCATACATACATACGTGAGGGGGTACCCGAAAAGAACTGGAATTTAGGCTTTCAAAGCTATGTATTTAAAGTTTATTTCAAAACAATCTTATCGGCTTCAAAATGCTTTCCATTACACTTAATACATTTGTCAAATCTGCGATTCCATTCTTGGAAACATTTTTCAACCTCATCTGTTTGGATGGCTGACAGTATAACCGTCCTTTTTTCTTCACCTCTTCTACATCGTCAAATCACTGTCCTTTCATCTTTCTCCATTCCCAGAAACAAAGAAGAAGTCATAAGGAGCAAGGTCAGGTGCGTCAGGTGCATGCTTTTTTTTTTGCCAAAAAGCACTTTTTGAGATGACTTCATGAGCAGGTGCATTGTCGTGGAGGCAAAACCAGGCCTCAATCTGCCACAAATCAGGCTTTTTTAGTTGCATACTGCTATGCAATCTTTCAGAACGTCTAAATAGAAAGCATGATTAACAATCTGACCTGAGAGATCAAACTCCAAACGCACTACAAGTTGACATTTTTGTCCATTTGGGAAGTTGACGGATGTCCAGAATGAGGTTTGTCATCAATCGATATTTCACCTTTTTTTTTTTCTTTTTTAACATTTTTTTAGGGGCTCATACAACTGTTATCCCAATCCATACACACATCAATTGTGTAAAGCGCATTTGTACATCGTTTCTCAAAACATTTTCTCTCCATTTAAACCCCCGACATTAGGTCCTCATTTTTCCCCTCCCTCCCCGCTCCCCCCTCCCACCTGAGCCTTTGATTTCACCTTTTTTGAAATGAGAACACCACTCATACACTAGAGTTTTTTCCATTGAGCTGTCCTTGTAAGCTGTGTTCAACATCACAACAGTTTCTGAAGCATTTTTCCCGAGCATGAAATAAAATTTCACAGCAGCACACCGTTCTCTTAAATGGACCATCACAGAAAATGAGATTTGAGCAAAACTTCTTTCACACTAAAAAATTCACTATGACCAGAAAGAACCTTCCCAGGAAACGCCACTGGGTGCACTAACTCAGAGTTGCTTGATGTTTGCTTGATGCTTGCCTACCAGGAAAAATGCACACTACAAAAGCATATGTACAAATGTGCTTGACACTATGGATGGATGGATGGATTTTGATAAGAGCTTCACGGGCCCTCAATAAAATGATTAATCAAAAAAAGTTCCACCCAACGGAGCTTTTATCCAGTTGTTGTTTTTTTGGTGGTGGTGGGGGTACCCCCTCAATTCACTTGATCACTCCAAAGTTTACAGACTATACCCCTCCCCGGGGATTATTGCAAGTGTCCTATCTGATTTCCCTGATTGTACTCTTACCATCCCATTGTTTATTAATACCACAACCTCTTCCCCCTCCCCTGAGTGATCTTAATATATGAAATTTTATATCAAGTCATCCTTCTATGTATAACCCTATCAAGACTTATCATGAGAGACAGAATGAAGTCAACATATGTTACTATGGTCTGTAGATGAAGCTCAGCCTAGCTCCTTAGCTTATAAGGGGGCACCATTTTTCCTCCTGTTAAGTATTCTGTAGCAATGTTTTGTGTTGTTGTTTTCTCTGGAAGCCTATCCCATCTCAGATCATTCAAACTTGCTGGCCCTTCAGCCTGAAATTAAAATTCTTCCTCAAGATTTTATGCATATTAGCTATACGATTTCTGCTGAGAC